TATGGAAACGTATTTTTGAAAATTGGATATTTGTTTGTGTTTAAATGTTATAGAGAAGAGATGTGTATATTTTATTACCTTAGTCTCATATTTTCGCACCGATCAAATCTTGGAGAAGGCCCTTTGAAGGAAATAAAAAGATGTTTGTAGGAGTTGCAGAATCTCACCTTCTGTTGTTTCCCTCATTATGTGCACGAAAAAAGGAATTTGTAAGCTAAAGACAAATTTTCTTTAGTTTAATATATGGGCTATTGTCATTTTTGAAAGTTGGCCTAATATGACTTGCTAGTTGTTCATAATGGGTTAAATTAATAAAGGCCCATTATATGGCATTCAAAAGCTTTGGGTTCATCATATGAGGATTTAATTGGAAAGGTTTGGGCCATGAGATATATATATGACAAGTTTAGCAATTTGGGCTCTCTTGGACCTTGTAAATCCATATCACGTCTACCAAGCCCGATAAATGATGTCGCGACTCATTCACTTCAAGACACGTCGTCCGTGAACAAGTCTCGAGGGGGCATTTGTAGAGACATAAAATTTGTGGCCAATCGAATGGCGCCACGTGGAAATTAATTTATTAAAAATCAAGTCATATTTTCTATTTATATTTTTGGAATTTCCATATATTTAATTTCTAAATTTAAATAGTTAATTAATTGATATTTTAATATTTTAATTCTTGACCAATCAAATAATGCCAAGTGTCAAATCTTAATTCTTGGTAATAAATCACATGTCTTCTAGAAGATCTTGGGAGATCTAAATGGATCTAAAAGATCTTATGTGAATCATCATGGACCAATCAAATCGCGTCCTACGATTATTAAATTTGGTAGGGTTCTCCCTCCTACACCTATAAATAGGGGCTCTCCCTAATGTAAAAAACACACACATCATAATTCATATTCAAGTTTCAAGAGCTCTAGAGAATTCTCTCGACGAGATTCAAGTGTTCTTGAAGATTCAAAGGCGTTCTTGAATATTCGAAGCAAGATTCAAGCGCATTCAACCTCAAGACTGGCGTTTAATCCGGAAACAAGCTGCAAAGCCTCCGAATAACGTTAGTAAATCCAAAGCCGGCGTAGAGAAGATTCAAGATCTACTTTGCGACGAAGACCAAGGATTCGTGTTCTTCGCGTTCTTGGGATATTTCGACGTTTGATCCGAAATCAAGGCGTTGGCCCTCGGATTAACGTTAATTCAAGTCAAATCAAGTCAAGGAGAAGATCAAGCCGAAGATTTCGCTCCAAGACTCAAAATTGTTCGTGAGAAGAATCAGAGGAGAAATTAGAGATTGTAACCCGCAATATTTATTTTGATTCGAGAAATTCATTTGAATAATATTTTTTGTGTTTTTTTTTAAATTCAATACACGAAAATTGTTGTTACAGCGAGCATCAAGAGCCAAGAGACGAGCATCAAGAGCCAAGAGATGAGCATCAAGAACCAAGGACTGCGCATAAGGACTTTACAAGGCCAAATGAGCCAATTGGTGGACCAGATGGACCGACTAGTGTATCGGCTGGAAAAGAGTCCAATGAGTTCGAGTGTCATCCATTCGTACAACGAGGACCTCGAGGAACCTGAAGAGGGCACATACGAGCTGGAGAACGAGAAAATCACGAATATCGAGAAGAATGTGAGCGAAAAAAGAGAACCAAGCTGCAGAATATGGGGCTCAGCAGCAGAATACGGGGGTGCCCCATACTCGACCTGCTGTAGCCAAAAAGCGTACCGTTCTTCCCGCTTTTGTGCCGATAGAAGCTGAACCGTGTCCTATGTATTCTAATATGAAGTGGGTACTGAGCAAGAATGCACTGAAGCATGTCTTGGACCTTGATATACATTCTCTTGAGACGATCGAGCAAAACGAAAGGTGTGAATGGGATTTTGTTGAGGCGGTGACCGTGATCGAGCGTGGGTTGCTACACATTCTTGAGGAATTAGAGTCATGGAGAAAAGATCCGGTGAAGCACCCAACATCGAGGATAGGGGATGCCACCAAGCATGGCGTGGTGAGATTGATGCCTCCCTTGAGGCCACCTCCAAAGCCGCCATGGATCCTTTGAGGAAAGGGAGCAATAAGTCGGGCCAACGACAATAAAAAGAGGCACTTGTTGAGACGCAAACCAATGGTGTGCATGGTTCAAGGACTTTTTCGCATTGACTAAGGTGAACTCGTTTCTTTTACCTCTGTTTTTGTTTATTTCAGTTTACTTGAGTGTCTATGATATATGCAAACTCTAAGTTTGGGGAGGTGGTTTCTTCGTGAGCATTTGTGTTTTATCATGTCATTAAATTTATGCCCCTTAGAGTTTGAGTTCTTAGATTCGCATGATATTTGTTGTGTGTGAGTATGAGATTGAATGTACGTGGAGTTTTGCGATGATGATAAGAGAGTCCATTTGAATTTATTGTGCTAGTTTAAATGGCTTGAGTTAATTTTATTTGGTTAAATTCTTAAGGTGTTTTTATTTTGGGGACAAAGGCATGATGATCGATATTTTTGTGATTTATTTGTGGTGAGTTGGTTTTGAGGCGATTTGTATTGTTGATATGTGCTTGTGATTACTTTAATCAATGTTGATTAAGTTTGGGGACTTGAAGCTGAAAGTTGGGGTTTTTATGTCTTATAGTCGAAAAAAGAATAATGAGGATGAAGGAATAATTGGTGGAGTTGAAAAGCCGTTTGGCACAAAAAAAAAAAAAAAGAAAAAAAAAAGAAAAAAAAGAGCATGGGCTGCAACAGCTGCCAATCTGTGGGGGCTCTAGTGTATAATTCCAATAATTTTCGTATCTAGACGAGCACGAAAGGCTAAAACCCACGGGTTGTGACGGAGCTGCCGTTCCTTACTTAAAAAAAAAAAGAAAAAAAAAAGAGTGTGGAGGATAAGACATTTAGACTTTGGCTAGAAACAGAAAGAAACTTGACTTGTTAGCAAAGAGAGGGGTGTCATGAGTTGCATTGATCGATACATTCGTTATAGAGATTGACAAACTGTGGTGGTCACTTGGATTGATACTTGATGTGTTTGAGTTCCTAGAATGATTTCGTCTTGAGCCCGAATAAATTATTTCGAGTTGTTTGAGCTATGCACTTATGTGAGAATTGTGAGGCCCTGAGTAAAGTTCTACGTACTTGTTTTCTTGTCCATCTTTGTGCTTATAGTTCTAAGTTGCTTGGGGACAAGCAATGGTTTAAGTTTGGGGAGATTTGATTGGTCGGAAAAAATGTGTATTTTATATATTTATTAGTGTATTTTTATATGCTTAATTTTATCGCACTTATTATTTTTCGACTTATTTATTTATTAGATGGATTCAAGTGCTTTGATATTTTTATGGTTTATCTTTAGGATATTGGAGTATTTTATGGACGACGAGATGTTGAAGGAAGATTGAAGCAGGCAGTACGGGGGAGCCTCATACTCGACCCAGGAGCCCCATACTCGGTCAACATAGGCCACATATATTGGGTCTAAGTTGTACTTTAATAGGGCCCACTTGGAGGATTACTTCAATTAAATGGCAGCAGGTTTATGTTGGTATTAAAATAAGGGCCATGTGAATGAAAATAATATGCCCATCAATTTGGCCCAAATAAGTCTTAAAGATGAGGCATCAGATGTGAAGGCACGCAGTCATAGGGCAGTAAAGGGACAACCATTATTTTATTTAATTGGAGACATTCACGCAGCCCCTATTATTCACGAAAACAGAAACAGAGGAAAGAAAAGACAGAGCCGCCATATTCACGCACAGAATTATTGGCGAAAAAAAAAGGTGGACAAAAGGGAACCCGATCAATTGCGGAGGGAGGCCGCACGCGTACATGAGGGAGATAATTAATCTCTCTCTTTTATTTATTATTTCTTTTTATTAGTATGTTAGAGTAGATTTTTATTTCTAGTTCTGGTGATGTTGAACCTTACGACTTGATGATGTTTGATTGATTTTCTTGGTTGATTATTGAGTTATCTTTTTGCGATTGTTTGTGTTATTTTGAATAATTCACCATGATGTGTTAGTCTTGTTTAGATTGATCACCTGAATTAGGCTTTTCATATCTACATCTGAATTAGACCTTCAATCCGTAATTGTTGTTGTGTTTAATTCATAAGAGGTAACCGGAAGATGGTAACTACCGGGGATAACACGGCCTATTTAAGTGAGCGAACGCGGTTGAGTTCACTACTTAGTCTAGCCTATTTTTCTAATTCGTAAAGCTGCTAATTGTATTAAATATTGAAAACGTTTTTCTGGACTGTACAAGAAGTCAGGTTTAATCGTAGAGCGTCTCGCGGTTAAATTAAAAATAAGGAAAAATTCGAGTAACTGACCGTGTCGTTGTCTAGGGCTAGTAATTTCATAAGATAGCGAGATTTAATACCAGAATTGATTAGACGAGTCAGTCGAGGGTGTAGACGGAACCGTGAACTAGAAACTTCTCTTTATTTATTCTATTTTATTTTTATTTCCTTTGTTTATTAGGATTTTTAATAAGTTTAGTTTTTAAACCAATCCCCCCACCCATTTATCGCTTTTTATAATTTTAATTAATACGAGAAAATTCACAATTTGATTCACACTCCTCGTGGGATCGACCCTTGCTCGCCACTACTACTAGTTAGTAGAGGTTAGTCGAGGAAAATATAAATTTTAATTTTGCCGCGTTGCGACGCGCGGTCAAATTTTGGCGCCGTTGCGACACGCAGTCACACATCCTCATTTGACCCTTATATATATAATATTTAAAATATTAAAAGAGTAATTTGAGTATAATTTATATATATAATATTATTTAAGAAAATATAATATAGTTTTTTGCCAAAACTTTCTTGGGAGGGGATATCTTTTCCCATATAAAAATTAAATTGGACAGGTGTAACAGTAGGGATTTAGCAATAGCGTGACACATCAAATTCTGCCCAAAATCAGACTGGCTGTATAAACGTGGCAATTGGAGTTGGACGTTCATTTCCTACTCTTTCTAGCCAACTTTTTGCTTCTTCTTTAACACTACTACACCAAATTAAAACTAATTCGATTTGATGAAGCCGTAAAAATTAATCACACGTGCCACCGCCTCTCCACCCACCAATCCCGCTCACAACTATAATAAAACCAAAGATACTCCAACTAGCTGATTTCAGAAAACAAAAAAATGGTTGTACAATATCCTTCTTCCTCTTTGATGACCGAATTTTTGCGGCAGTGCGGCGGCGCCGCCGTCATCGACGGGGGACTTGCGACGGAGCTCCAAAGGCACGGGGCTGACCTCAATGATCCTCTGTGGAGTGCTAAGTGCCTCATCAACTCACCTCACCTTCTAAGAAGGGTATAACCTATCATATTATAATATATATATAATATATAATTAGGTTATCTTCTATCATTTTTTATGGGGTAATTAGTTTATACAAGGATGCATATCAACACTGAAATTTTGATTATTGCATAGTTAATAATTATTTGTATTCTGTTTGTTTGTTTGTTTTTTTTTTTANTTGTTTTCGGTTTCTTTACAAAATGTATGTGTATTAACCGAGGAACAAACTATGTATATGAAACATGCATATTTTATATGTTTATATATATGAATCTCTTGGTATGTAATATTCGCTTCTTTATTTTTGCGTCTTTAATGATACTTTTAGTTCTATGTGTTGCAATTTTTTGACTGGTTCTTAACTCAAAATCGGTTATTGTCGGTTATTTTTCATTATTGGGTTACCTGAAGGACCAAAAAAATCAAGTCGTAATAACCCGGTTCGGTTCTTTTCTGGTTCCTTTATGTCTAATCTATTAGAATATTCACTTATGAGTTGTCGCACGTCGTTTATATAGAAAAATAGGTTTAATTTATAAGTGTAATGGGCCTAAATTTGGAATATAGTCGGTTTCTGCTGATGGTTTGTTTTATTTTATTTACTCTCATTTTCTGGGGGTCTTGCGTTCTTTCATTTTCTTTCTTAAAAATCGTGTATTTTTTTTTTCTTTTACCTTTCTATTAAGTTTAATTGCAATTTTGTTTCGATGAGTAACGATCTTAGCCCTAATAAAAAGAATAAATGAAAGAAAATCATGTGAATTTCGGTTAGGTTTAATGGCAATTTTGTTTCGGTAAGTAACGATTTTGGCCCGATTAAAAAAAAAAGAATAAAACTACTTGATGTAAAAGGATGATGATGATAAAAAATAATAATAATAATAATCTATCATTATATAAAAAGAATAACCTTTTTACAAATTTAGAAACTTTTTCCCGCCAAAGTTATTAAATATATCCTATATATAGTAATTGTTGGACAAATCTAAATAGGCAAAAAAATCGGCTCATTAATTGTGTAAAGATTTGTTTCTCTTTTCCTATTTTTTAGTTTATCACAATCGTTGTTTGACAATAAATATTTGTTTTTCTTTTTCCTATTTTTAGTATAAATCTACACGAGCTTATCTCTTCTGTTACAAAATCTCATCTCATGTGTTTAAAAAATCTCATCCTTTATCTATACAGATTTGAAAAAATAAAATAAAATAAAAACTAATTCATAATTACTACTAGAAATCCATTATCTTTGAAAAGAAAAAATAAAATAAAATAGAAACCAATTCATAATTACTACTAAAAATCCATTATCTACAAGTTATTTTCATCGGTCTAATTACTAATATTTTTATAAATATTATAAGCTAACCATACAAAATAGTATAATAATAATTTTGAAATGGTGTGTAATCAAAATTTTTTATATTCTCTTATAGAAAATAATTTTATATTGTTTGATCTCGAATCTTTAATTTATAATTATTAAGTATTGTTTATCCTCCTCTTTAATTTATAATTATTTTTTTTCTTCTTCTTTTTAAATAGGATCAATAGTAGTTTCCACTTCCGCCATTGAATGACTCAAACTCGAGATCTATTTATAATACTGTTAATTTAATATTGTTCTCGTGAATTGCACGGGTACACACTAGTAATAATTAATGGTCGTTGATTTCAAAATAACCGGAACACGTTGTTAACTTACGTTAAAGGAAATGTGGCATGATAAATTCGGTTAGATTTGTGTTTGCGCATGTAATTATCCGAATAAAAATGCTATTATACAAAGTATGTGAACAAAACAGAATCAAAATTCCCAAGAAACCTCTGTAATAATATATCCACGTCATCTTCGGGCGTTAGTTGGATAAGTTTAAGTTTGCCAACTGATGCTTTCCTTGGTAGCAGAAATTCCCCGCTGACTGACACGTGTTTCTTTTGCAATAAAATTTACAATATAAAGATTATTAGGTGCTAATCTTCCTGTGATCTCAGCAAAAGGCGAGAGGTAGAGGCCAGATTAAGCCTCTTTAATAGTTTAATCAATGTCAAGTTGAATTTTTTTTAGTTTAAGCTTAAAGATAAAATTTTGAATTTAACGTAAATGGTGCCTATATCAACAGGTTCACTTGGACTACCTTGAAGCTGGTGCAAATATCATTATATCCGCATCTTATCAGGTAACCTGTTTTTTTCTTTTTTATTTTTTTTTTATTTTTTCCCTTTTCCAAATGGCAAATATGTTGCTGAAACTTGAAACAAGCGTAATGACTTTGGCTCACAAACTTCTCTATTAAAAAATCACATTCACCGAAGAGTTGAAAAGTGATTTCTAGTGCATCTTTTGTTGTGTAACCTTGTCATCATCTATCTTTTTATGATTAATCTACAAAGCCATTTTTTGTTTATTCTTGTTGAATAATTAATGTTTACTATTATAACCCATTTTGGTTTAATATATTTCTTCAAAGAAAAAATCTAGCTTGACCTTATTGATATTAGTTGTTATGCAACGTTTATTAACGTTTAATGCGAACAAAGTAGATATGACTACACGTATATAAAAGTCTTACTAAGCTTCAAGAAGACTATGATGTTTCAAATAAGAATTCACTAAAGGACTCAAAATATCAACCAAAGTCATTAAAGTTTTATAAAGTTACCAAAGTCACCCAATTTAAAAAGTCGTAAAAAGTCTCAATTAATGAATACACTCCTTAAAAAGAACGACAACGACCCACAGGAAAAGAGTACAACCTAGCAAAGAGAGCTCTGTACAGACGAAGCACTAAGAGAGGTTAACAACACAAGGACGTAACAAAAAAATAAAAAACCTAGACACATACCAGATTANATAACGCTTTTAAGCGTTGTCGGAATCAGCTTAATAGAAGACCGATTTCTGCACATAACATTTAAAAGTCGGTATTTGAAGAATCTTTCACGTAACACTTTTTTATATTAAGCGTTATATGAGGAACCACGTAATACTTTTTTATATTAATCGTTATTTATAATATTAATCAAATAACATTTTTTTAACTGAATTGCTATCTGAAATGATGCTAATATATAACACTTTTCTAAACAAACGTTATCCATATTTATTTTGTGCTTGTATTCATTAACCCCTTCTACTAGTAAAGTAAACAAGATCCAAGTGATTTAAAATCATGAACCACATGTACCAAGAAGCAATAACAAACAAGAAAAAACACAAACATGAATATAACAAAAACTTACTAACACAATCCACCAATTTTAACATTGTGCTCGTGTATGTACAAGATAATAATGTAGCACAAAATCATGAAAGAATTGTATCTCCAATTCCAATAAATCAAGAAAAAAAAAAAACTAATATTCGTAGCAAAAAATTCGCCATCCATTAGCCAATATCCTGACCAAACAAGTTTTGATGGCATCCTCCTGCATCGCGAATGTTATACATATATTGATATCAAATTAAGTCATTTCATCACATCTTAACAAGATATAAAAGAAAATGTAATAGAAGTTTAACATAATAAATACCTTTAAGTACGAAAAAAATGCGCATGTATCTGTCAGAATTACGAAAATAAACATCTTAGTCATAATCTATTAATTCTATTTTGTAATAAATTTGAAATTTAACACAACAATAATAACAAACGAATCGACACTATTAGAACAACTCTGAAGAACGTTTTGTGCACATTCTTCCCGAATTTCATTTACTTGTTCCTCAAATAATACTTGTAACAAGGAAGTACTAGAAAATATATCATTATTAATTACATTTTAACCAAAATACCGAAAAATGAGTGGGTAATGGAATGACAAAAAAATGAGCTTAAATTCACTTACCTGATTATCATTTCATCACAATATTTATTTTTTTTTTTGTAGTGAAGTCTGCCATTGGATATGAGAAGAAAAAAAATTCCATTTCATTCGACCAATGAAAATTTTTATCCAAATTAATAATATTTTGCAAAATTATCGAGTTTTCCCTCTCATTGTTTTACAAGATGAAGAAAAAATCATAACTATATATTTCTCTATTATACGAAATTCATGTTAGATCCACTTATACATTGTTGTAGTTACTGATATAACTGTTTCACTATTTTAAAGTCCCAACAACATTGTTCTTTAGATTTCATGTTACAGTTGTTCAAATTCAATAAAACATATCATTCTTCCAAATTTTTGTCCAGAAGAACAAAAAATTCAAAAATTGGAAGTATATACATCCTATCCCATTTTCAAATCATTAATAACTCATTCGTGTTACAAGTAATACACTCTTGAATGCAACATTTCTGCAAGTCCTAAAGAAACCTAAGGAGCTATTTTAATTTTGAAGAATAATTGAGCTTTCTGGTAATAATAATGAATATCACTATTGTGTTTGTGGTCTTTAGGCTACTCTTCATGGATTTGCAGCTAAGGGGCTTTCAGGGAAAGAAGCTGAAGCCTTACTAGAAAAAAGTGTAAAGATAGCTTGTGAGGCTCGTGATATATACTACGAAAGGGCCACTAAAGGCTCGTGGGATATTTCAAACGACGGAATATCTTTAAAACAACAACGTCCAATCTTGGTTGCTGCATCTGTTGGGAGCTATGGCGCTTATCTGGCGGATGGTTCAGAGTATAGGTCGGTTTAACCTTTAATCCTGAAAGATTATCCTTTCACGTTATACATTGATAACAAATCTACCCCTGAGGTTTGTGTTATTAACAAAACCCATCTGGCTATGGGAATTACATAAATCAAATTGTCAAGTTCATTTTTTGACCAACAATTGCTGATTAATGAAATTTGGCCACATGGTCAAATTTTTTCATGTGATGTATATATCCCATCATTTTTTCATTGATCATGTGATGTATATATATGCTGTCATTTTTTTTATTATGCAGAGGGATTTATGGGGATAACATTGGTTTGGAAGCTCTCAAAGATTTTCACCGTAGAAGGGTTCAGGTTTTGGCTGGGTCGGGGGCCGATTTGATTGCATTTGAGACCATCCCAAATAAGCTGGAAGCTAAGGTAATTCTTGTTGATTACCTAAGCTAAGGTAATTCTTTTAACAAGAATATGATTTTACGAATCTTTTCACTACTTATTTTCTCTGTTACTATGTTACCGATTTTACGTACATTAGGACCATTAGTTATTCGCATGATGGGCAATTGATACGTAGATTAATCTAACTTAGTAGCATTAGTTATTCATTTCGTATGGCAATATCATTATTGCTGCTACTACTGCTACTATTATGTCTTGTTGCACTATATTTTACTTGCTTGGTTTGAAATTAAATTAAATTTTATCAGTTTTTCGTTGTCTTATTGGGATAGGCATATGCAGAGCTTCTGGAAGAAGAGGGAATTAACATACCTGCCTGGTTTTCCTTCACTTCCAATGATGGGAACAATGTAGCCAGTGGCGACCCAATTGAAGATTGTGCCTTAGTTGCTGAGAGTAGCACTCGAGTAATTGGAGTTGGAATAAATTGCACCTCACCAAGGCACATTCTTGGTTTGATCCAATCAATAAAATCGGTATTCAACCGCTAAAGTAACACGCTACGACATTGTTTTGTTGTCAAATTCACTATTCAGAATTCAGAAAATGATTGCTTGTAAAATATGTAGTGCTTTTTTTTTTTTTTTTTTAATNTTGATAAATTGATCAACATCAGGTGACGACAAAACCGATTCTCGTATATCCGAACAGTGGCGAGACTTATGATGGGAACACAAAGGAATGGATGGTGAGTTTATTAAATCTTGTATTAGTTCAAAAAATGAACTAATTATATGCTTATTAATCAGGTGATTTACACTTTGCATAACATACTCCAGTTCCTTAGTAATTCGAGATATTGTTATCACTATGCAATTTGATCTTCTCCATTGCTCCTCAACTAGTATAGATTGCTTCTTGAAGACTAAGAAAATATGTTTGACTGATAATAACAAAATTATTATCTACGATTTTGAAGCCATCAATGGGTGTCTCGGATGTTGATTTTGTTTCGTACGTGGGGAAATGGAGGGAAGCAGGGGCTTCTCTGATTGGGGGATGCTGTAGGACCACACCAAACACCATTGCAGCTATTTCTAAGGTTCTTTCAAAAAACTGATTACCAAGGGAAAAAATAAAAGCACAAGATGCTACTGTATGGTTCTAATCTGTTAGGGGAACATTAAGATTCTATGCTAATGTATCAACTTTATGAAACTCGTAATAAAGTGTGTTATGTGTATGTATATGTTGTGGTTTATGAATGCATGGTTTGGAATTCACAACACTCTGAAAATTTGCGCAGACAGAAGGGATTTTTTTCACAAGTTGGAAGTAATTTCTGGAAATTTGAGTCACAAATATAAAGTTGTGTTGTAGACGGTACATGTAAAAAAATAAATAAAAGAAAACAAAAACTAGTGATTTCGTTCTTTGGACAAAAATCAAATGCACGGACTGTTTGTATATAGTTAGAAAATGATTTCGTTTGAAATTCAAAAAACGGTTAGTCGCGGGTCGAGGGCGACGGCGCCAGAATAGACCGCGATAGATCTACCTCGATCTTACCTCCATATATTGTGGGGGTTCCACCTCCGATCGATCCGTTCCTGCACTGCCTGAGCGAGAAATCGGCAGACCATTCAGAGACTAGCCATGTAGTCCGTAATCTGTGGGGATAGGTTGGGATTGATGGATGACCCGGGCGCCCAAAGAGCCCTCTTGTCCTAACGGACCAGGCCGCGCTGTCGCACCTCTTTACCCGAGAAAGCAAGTAGCGAAGACTGACTTCTTCATGGATCTCATCCCTTCCTAGCAGATATAGCCAGAGGCTCTTTTCTAAGCAGCCTTTAAGGGATTTTTCACGTGTAAAAGACGCTATTTTGCCCGAGCACTATATCTATCTTATTTGACTTTACTGATTTCTCGCATTCTTCCCGTCCCTGTATTCCTGCCAAGGGCTGACACATGGATCACAGACGGTATCTCCCCATGGCCTTTTGGGGGATAAGCGGGTGTTTAGTCCAAGAAAGACATAGCGCTTCGCTTCTAAAGTTGGATCGCAAGCCCTCCTCTCCCTATGGTCGGGAAGGGTTGCTGTTAGATTCTATACCAACGCGTTCTCTCCGGAAAGTCGAATCGCAAAGGTACTAAACATAGCTAGTCAAAGCCTTCGTTTCTCGGGTCTTTTGACCGTCGAACTCGGGCGGGTCAGGAAGCTGGTGATAGGAAAACCCTGCTAGAGTCGCAAGTTTAGAAAGGAGGGACTCCCGCTTGGATTGCTGAAATCGCTCAATTGAAGCCAAACCGGGTTCCTCGATAGAGTCTATTGAGATGCAGGTCAACGGGGTCCATCTTTCCTATGAAGACCTTCTTTCTGTTACGAATATTATTAGTTTGAACGATATTTTTATCTTACGATTATAGAGTGGCAACAATGCCCCAATAATGGCCTTCGTCGACCTTTCTCATTCACAGGTTCGGGAATGAGGGGATTTGGAGAAGAGTGGACCAGACGAATGAGCTTGAGGGTACGAGCTCACACGTCTTTCTCTGGTCCTTGATCGACTTGCCCGGTCGGAACTGCCCTTTCTATAGAGTTCCTCTTCCGGGTAGGTCGGTCAAGTCAAGGGTGCAGGCTCAAGTCCAAGGTCTGCAGGTTCAGGTTCGGGAGCACGTCTATCCATGCCGAGAAATGGTTGTTTCCCTGAAAATCAAACTAACTACGCTCACAAGGATTGGAACCGTAAACATTGGGTAGACCGACGAGCGAATTCTTTTGCTCATCCGACTTAGAATCAAGCCTAGCTGGTTTAGAAGTGACAGGTTGTCCAGATAGTGGAGTAGACCTACTGGCTAGCCTAAGCATACGATTAACTGGACTTTTTCACCAATGTCCACATCTGGGATTCAATTCCATCAAAAAGATAGGCGGGTTTCATTTGTTGCAGGTCAACCATTCCAGATCTGAGCTACCTGGATCAACCCACCAGTTAGTACCCCCTCAGTTTCAGTAGCTCGGATCAGTTGTAGCTAAAGCTTTAGAAGCGAAGCGAAGTGAAGTCATAAAGGACTCAAACTTCCATTTCTCCAACTTTTTCTCAAAAGTCCTATCTATCCACCTCTCCAGACACAATATCTTGAGTACCTATGATCTACCATAGCCCACCCGTCTTTTTATCTTCTTTCTACGAACTGATACGCGACCTCTGGGAAAGGTCTACCTCAACAGTATTTGGATTCTTCGGATCTCCACTGCTGTTGGGGGACCGGGGGGGAGAGGGGAAAGGGCTTGGCTGCGGATTGCCTCCTCTACCAAGGATCCAAGGGGAAGTAGATCTGCTTTGAAGTGCTCAAGCGAGCTGCCCAGGAGCTGACTCTGATCTTTCATTATGAGACTTCCAAGTCGGTTCGAAACGTAGCCCTTGTTCAAGGGGCGTCTTTCTCAGATCAGATGGAGTGGTTGTGCCCTTTCCAGCAGTTTCTGGGGAAAGCCGCACTCAGACTCCTTACTTGAGTCCTTCTCTTCCCGAAGAGCGTGAACTTTGCGAAAACCGCGTGCCCTAAAGGGCGTGGAATGGATGACTCTCAAAAGCGGTCACTGGTCTATTCTATTTTCTTTTTTGTGGAGAGCTTCGCCCTTAGCAGCGGGAAAGGAGTCTATCTATCTGCCTAGCTTTGGTAGATTTCCCCCAAGCTTTCGAGGCCGGAAGAGCACGGCCAATTACAGTGGCCTGTCCCCTTCAATGCGGAGTGACTTCAACAAAGAAGCTCCGGCAACCGGCTCTGCCCGGTCTGCCTGTTCGTCCGGACTGCCCGACATGGCCTATGAATTGATTGAATTAACTACAGATTTGAACATCTTGATCCATTTCCGTCGGACCCAGATTGGGCAAGTGTTCCGTGTCTATCATAATAGAATAAGAAGAAGCTAGTTCTCAGTTCAATGATCGACAGATGGTTCAGGCCTGAACCTCTCGGTCTAAATTCCCGTATTTCAATCTGAACTGCTTGGTCGGAAATTGGCTGGGAAAGGAAGGTGCCGTTTGCCGCAAGTAGATCTAGCTGATTGACTGTAGCTTTGAGTCATATGTGGGACCGTGCCCTGACTACACGATTTTTCTTTCCCATCCTCGCCTGCACAAGCAGGTTTGGAACCCTAAGAGCAAGAGCGATGGGAAGACTCTATTCTAATTCTATTCTGTCAGACGATTTCTTTATCATTGTAATTACAATCTTCGCCACCCTTCACAGAAGGACGTCGTTCAACCTAGGGCTAACGCGCCTAGCGTTTTACGACATCGGCTTAAAAGCATACAGTCAAGCTCGTAGTCAATCCCTCAAATCCTCACGGTACTATAGGTACGGAGGTACGGCAAACGGGCTCACAAGTCGGTTAGACTTGGAGTCAGTTACACGAGAACCACTCGCGCTCCTAAGCAGGGTATACTCCAGTTGAGACTAACAACATGAATAAGGTTGGCCTATATGTAGATCTTAGTGGACTGAGAGAGCGAGCTCGAAAGGAAGGGGCTTTTTCCGTCTTGGGCTAGGTCCTCAAATTCCTCCCATAGCTTCCTACGAATTTCCAGTTTAAGGGAAAATCGGTATCTGACTTCTTGTGGGTTGGGTCTTCGGAAGGCTCGAGATGCTAACTTAGCTATGCTTTCGGTTGGAAAATGTCCTGATATTAATGCTCTTGACGGAGGGTTTCTCCTAGGGGGTTAGTTAGGGTCCCGAATAAGAAAGATGAGGGTTTTCCAAGTTTGCTTCCAAATAGAGTGGTCTGAGGTGGCTTACCTTCGAAGCTGGGGATCTAGATAGGTACCGATCTCGAGCCTCTGGTATTACCAAAAGGCTCCACAAAGACTACCAAGCACAGGTGAAGGAATGAGGTGAATCATACGCAGCAGGTCCAAACTCCCCCCCTCACTAGTGCTTACTTTTGAAAGTCGTCCTCTTAAAGCACTCGTTCCAGTACAGCACCATGTAATTTAGGGCTTCCAAAAAAGCCGGCCCGGGCGGTCGGGCACAGGAATGGAACATACCATATATTATTATTTTTTATAATGTAAATCTAAAATTTCATAACTACAATTTAAGAAGACGTGCCATTTGATTTTTGGTAACTGATATCTTGCATCTTTACAATTAAATACCATGCATTTAGCAAGGATGCAATTAAAAGTTGCCCTATTGTAAACTTGCAATTAAATTCAAATCGCCTAAATTAAATTTAAACTATTATTATCATGAAAACAAAAGAAATATTAATATAAAATTACTTTTCAATATTTTATTTAAATTACACTGATTTAATTTATTCATTCGATTACTGTTGTCCTGTAATTAGAAGCTACAAATGAACACAGGAAAAATGCAGAGCCGGTCCTGAACATTATTTGGCCCTGGGCCAAATGCAAAAAATAGTGCCTTAAGTATTTCATATGTATGAAAAAACTAGAGTATTTATATAATATCAACAATGCCCCAATAATTATTTTGCTAAACATATTAATTTATATAATCTTTTATGTGAAGCAAAACCTCATCAAATAGCTCATGGTTCATCACGCATATAAAGGTTAATGACACACTTTCATCTTCCAATGGATAATACCTCGAGTGCTGTAATAAAATGATAATGTTTTTATAAAATGATAATGTCTCAATATAAATTTCCGGTACATCAAATAACAAATTGATTAACAAAATCCCTTTTTAGCGGCAAATATAGTAGTAGTAAAATCACTTGCAAAGCTTCAATAGAATTTTTAGCGGAAAGAATATCAATTGTATCACCATAATCAAAATGTCATGTAATAACCTTATATTGCATATATTAATTAATTGCTAAATTTGATACGGTTTACTTTTTTAAGTTGTTTTTATATGTCATAAGAATTATTTGTTTAGTAGTTCAAACATGATTATGTGTTACCTAAAGATCATTAATAAGTAAACCTATAATTAAATTATTACTAAGATTATCTTAAATATATAAAATAATATAATTTTATTATAATATAAATTATTAATCATCTTTAGTTAGTTTATCGTCATGTTTGAGCTATAAAACAAATAGACTGCCTCCGGTTTATAGCACTTTTTTTAAAGGAAAAATGAAATATGGCCATGTTTGGTAAAACAATGAAATATAACCATTTTAGGGGTTAAAAGTACACTTCTACCCTTATTAATGTTTACCTATCAAACAAAAAAAAAGAAAAAAGAAAAAGATTGCATACAGAGAGACGCGCCTTCATCTCAAAAAAAAAGAAAAAAAAAAAAAAATATTCATCTTCCCAAAATTCAATTAAAAGTGATCTCTTTCAAATATCATCTCCAACATCACCAAGTGAATCCATTTGTTGAGAAGAAAAAAGGTACATTAACATAAACCTAATTTTGTTTTTTTATTAATTATGTTAAATAAAAATATTTTGAAAACATTTATTATTGTTTTACCTAAAATTATTGATTTGTCTAGGACCATTTTATTTTGTTGAACTCATATTTTTTTGGAGTAAAAAAAAATGGAGTTTTTGTGCTTCAATAAAAGGAGTTGTGTTTTGTTTCTTGATAAATGGTATTTTTGTTTCTTTTCCATTGTTTTCATTCTCCGCGAGTCGCGTTAGATCTCGCGAAAAATTTCCCAATGTTGGAGGAATGGAGGAAAACTGCTGCAGAACATATTTTTCTTGTTTAATTAGAACTCCCATTGTTTTCTTGTTTTTGTGCTTTCTTAAACAAGAAACTTGTTTCTTGAAGACGAAACAGGTTTCTTGAACACAAAACAGGTTTCTTGAACAAAAAGAAATTGTTTCTTGAACAAGAAACTGTTTATTGAACACAGTTTCTTCTTTCAAGAAACAGTTCTTCTTGTTCAAGAAACATGTTTCTTGAGCAAGAAACTGTTTCAGTCTCTCATATGTTGTCTGTTATTGTGATGCGTAACTCGTCTATTCTAATCCGTCTGTTTAGAATTCTAATGCCAACCTCTAACAAAAGGAAGTTCCGATTGGTGTATCATAATAATTTGTGTTTCCATGTCAGTATTTTGAAAATGTGGTGAGTTCTCATTCGCATATTTTTTTTTTTTTTTTTTTTTTTTTTTTGTCGTGTTTATTTGCAGTGGGAGTAACTTCAAGGTGAATTTGAGCAGTTGGACTATCTCAGAAGGATACTTGATGAAGGCATGGGTGTAGGAACTGGGGAAGTTGTCTTTTCAAAATAGAACAATTAGCAGCAAGTATAGTTGCATTAAGCACTGTGTATTTGTGTCCACCTTACAGTTTGCAGTTTTATAGGCAGTGTATTTGTGTCCATTTTACAGTTTGATGTCCTATCGCGAATGCATCACTGTACTTGTTAATAATTTGTGTTCCCAGGATTTTCATGTCTTATTTTGGCTATAAACAAAATTTAACTAATTAATAATTTACCTTTCTAAAAGAAAAAAAGAAAAAGGAGAGGAACTTGAATCTCTCCAAAAGTGCCATAGCCAACAAGTAGAGACTGTTTGAAAGCAGGCAGAAACAATGCCATTTTATGCACCATATTCCCAATATTACTGAATCAATTAGTCGGACCAAGATTACAACAACATCGTTGATTATGTATTAGCAATTCACAACTTTCCCAAAGGGAAGCATAAGTTCTCACAGCAATCTTTGTTAGTGATGACAATCATCTACAAACTCAAACCAGATTGCCTAATG